GAGACAGTTTTAAAGCAGCAAGCTCCATCACTACAGAGCACAGTGGCTGATACTCTGTATTTTAGCTTCCTATATATTCCACAGAGAATGGTGTGACTACAGGGACACGTTAGTTGAGTAGCAGTTTGATTTTTGCCTTTCACAGTTTGACTTTTCCTAAGAATGAAGGAGGATTTGAAAACAAGAATAAAATGTTCTTTTGCAAGAGATGCCTACGTGGAGATGCTACAGAATAGTTCAGTCTATTTTCCATCTGTATTCCTCCCCTCCATTCAGGATCTCCGTACAAGCAGTAAGAGCAGCTTTGGAACCGATGAGTAAACTTAATTAAATGGTTTTAAATTAAAGGGAAAAAGACACAGCCCTTGCTCCCACTGTCAGTTGGGAGACCTAAACCTTAGTTCAGTGAGGAGCAAGCTACTGTGGGAGCAAAGGCTACTGCACGAGGATGGGTTAAGTTACACACTACCTGTTCTGTCCTTTCTCACACATTATTACAGAGTTACAGGCAGTCCCAGACCAAGGGCAGAAAACCAAACTCCACTAGATAATACCGACAGACAAGCTCATGGTCTTCCAACTCACCTGTCCGTTACAGTCACAGGGTTCACTAAAGCTGACGTATTCGTCCTCTTTGCTGTACATTCCTAAGCCAATCTTGTTTGGCTTTTGCTCAGAATCTAGCTGGAATTTTATCTTGGCCAAGTTGTCAAAGAGTTTGGAAAGAAGAGTTACAGGCAGTCCCAGACCAAGGCCAGAAAACTAAACTCATGGTCTTCCAACTCACCTGCCCGTTACAGTCACAGGGCTCACTAAAGCTGACGTATTCGTCCTCTTTGCTGTACATTCCTAAGCCAATCTTGTTTGGCTTTTGCTCAGAATCTAGCTGGAATTTTATCTTGGCCAAGTTGTCAAAGAGTTTGGAAAGATGACGTTGCACCTGAAAAAGGAATTGTATCAAAAAGTGACCATGACAGGACAAGCAGCGTGGACATCACCGTAGCAGGGGACATACCTCAGTTATGTTTTTATGCACCTTTGTGGAAGAATTGCTTGAAAAGAGAAAACTTAAGAAAAAACTAGGGCCTAATAGAAGTTTTGGCATTATAGAAGCTTGCCACAGCTTGCCAGTGTGTGATACACAGTTGCCACTTCCAGGATGGTTGGTACCCACGGACTCTGCTCCTCCACGGTTCCCTGGGCAACACAACCTGCCTCCTCACTGCTGCAAAAGGGAGTAAGGGAGGATGGAGCGGAGTGAAGACACCACGGCCAAACTCTGTTGCACTCCCTGTGCTGGGCTGCTGATAAGCCACACAGGAGCTTCCCAATGGGAGATATACGATAACATGTCTGGTGCTGAGCTGGCAAGGGTGGCAAAAGACTCCTTTCAGATGAACTTTGATTCAGCTTTGCTCATTATAATGTCAAAACACACCTCCATCCCAAAAGTTACCCGCCTCCGAGGTACGACCACCCCTCACCAAGCATGCACTCTAGATTTTCCATTGACTGTACTTTTAAATGAATGCAAGAAACTTTTTCACCAATCAAAAACAATAATAAGTATGACTCATCACTCAAGCTCCACCTCAATGTAAAGAAAAGTATAAAAGGTGAACTAAGGAGGAAAAGAGGAGGAGAGAAGAATCCATCGTAATTCCTGCGTGGGTCAACACTAAGTGGACGGGCTGAGCCCCTTTCCTCCCCTCAGGTTGGGACCTGAGAAGACTCTGAAGTGGGAGGGAAGATTCCGTCATAAATTTTGGATCAGTCGACAGGCTGATCTCCCTTTCCTCCCCTCAGGGACAGGATGCTGCCTAAGGAGACTCGAGACTGAGAGCCCTCTCCCATCTTCTGGGGTGAGTGATGATTGCGCATTTGTACAGCAGAGCTAGCGAAAAATCCCATGCTCTAGTAGAGAGTTTCCTGTACTGACATCCAAAACCTGCCTTGTAAATGTTGCTTTTGAATAAATCATACTGTTTGTGAACTC